AAAAGGTGGGTACCGAGATGCATTTACATAAGGACTTGGAATCCCGAGTACCGACAAGAGGAAGAGTAGAGGAGGCCACGAGAGGTATCCCAGTCGAAACTTGGTGGGCCAATCAGGTGGATGCAGAAGAAGGGGGTAGGGAGGCCTAACAATGGAGCGCGATAGAGCAAGTGGTTGAGGACCTCGGAGAAATAAGGAGGGGGCCCCCAGGGGAAGAAAGTTGTTCGAGGAGCGGATTACGGAGACAATTGAAGGCACGCATCGAGGAGCTGGTCGGGAGGCTGACTTTGCCTGGGCCTCGGATGAGATGATGAGCAGAAACGTTGATCGAGCAGGCGGAGCATGGCGAGGTACAGACCCTGCGAGATGGGAACGTGAAGAAGAGGAAAGAGGTCATCGGGAAGAGGGTCTTTGGGGCCGGTTTCGAAGCCGGCTACGAATGGAAGAGTTGGACCCGACTTGGTATAAAATAACAATTCGTCAAAATGAACATCTTTTATTTTTTGAACGAGATTGAAACCGAGTTTTTTTACCGAAAACTCGTCAAAATTTCTTCTTCCCAAGGGTCTGGCGTTTGTAAAACGTTGGACCCCCTGGTTGTACATGAACCTAGCTTGAGACCAGTGACATCCTGGCAGTCCTGCCTGGATATCCCTGGTCTCAAGCTAGGTCCATGTACAGCGAGGAAGTCGAGCGTTTTACAAACGTTGGACCCTCAGGAAAAACAAAATTTGACGAGTTTTCAGCCAAAAAACTCGGTTTCCATTTCGTTCAAAAAATAAAAGATGTCCATTTTGACGAAATGGCATTTACATGTCGTATGACCCATTTAAAGATGGGTCAGCTGAAGGTCCGTAATTCCAGCACTACGATGATAGGCCTGTTCCCTACTACGACGTCAACTTGGGAGTGGAGGTCGTTTATTTCACTGGGAGAGATATAACTGGGTTCGTTGAAAAGCGGGAAAGTTACGCCTTCCGAAAGAAGTTTTCCGAGAAGGAATGGATAAACCACTTTATCCAACACTCAGACCCGAAAGTGGACCAACGCATTCAGTTAGGGCAATCTACCCTCTCGATGGGAGGCAAGGGACCTTCAAAGCAAACTTATTAAAGCACTTTTGCATGCGATAATCCGATCCTGACGATTAAGGGTCTGCAACAGATGGCGTGAGGAAAACAAGAGAGTTCGGTGGCCTTTACCAAAAGATTCAAAAGACTCTCTCAGTCTCTGGTGGATAGAGGAATGCCTTCATAAGTGGATAGGTGTGTGATGTTTATGGTGCACCTTCCCAAGGAGAAAAGGAAAAAAATCCTTGAGAAGGCACCAGGGAGTCCGCATGCTTTGAGAAAGTGGCCGAAATAGTCTTCACAGATGGAGGGATGAACGTGAGATAATACATGAAAGAAAGCTTGGATCTAGCCTTGAAACAAAAACGGGGCCAAAAAAATGACGTCTCGCGAGGGAATGATAGGCCTTCTTAGGGGTTCCCCGGTCAGCGCTGGGGTGGAGGCCAAAGGAACTGGAGAAACGAGCTTGGAGGGGGAAACCAAGGGGCTTGGCAAAATGATCGAGATTGTGGAGCCAACCGGGGATCGGATTGGGGGAGTTCCCACTGGAAGGATGCAAGGGATGGTCGATGGGGAAACCCTCCTCAAAATAGGCCCCCGGTCCAGATGAGCACCCGGCAAGGGTTCCTCCTCCGCTTGGAGCCGGGACCACAGCTAGCTCGGCGCCTTCCGCCGGGGCCCGTCTGCCCAACCCGACTCCCGGTTGCGTCTATTGCAACGAGGAAAATCACATCAAGCGCGAATGCCCGCACCTCACGGAGGCTCTAAGGTTGGGGGTCGTAAAGCTGAATGAAAATAAGTGGGTGTTGTGGACTGATGACGGAGAACCGGTTTCCTTCTACCCTTCTTTGAGGGTGAATGTGGACAAAAGGATCGCCTTACAAGAGAACAAGTTGAAGAAGAGACCTGAGACTAGTGGGGGATGGCAGAACCCGATCCGGCAAAAGGAATCTCCATACGAGAGCCCCAAGTCTTCTGCATTTAGTTCATAGAGACCTCCCTCGAGGAAGTGGAAGCGAATCAATGCTTTAGAGTGAGAACTCAAGCTAGGGCCATCTCTTCCAGAGGGAAAGAAGCCGCACTTGGGAAGAGCAGTACGAACAGAGACAAAAAAATGATGGACGCAAAAATCGAGGAGAAGAAAAAGGCAGAAGAAAAAGGGGAAGGAGAGTCCACCTCGCCTCAAAAAAGGGAGCCAAAGAAATATGAGATGAAATGTACCCTGGACAAGATAGATACTGTGCCCCCTCTCAGGCGGACTCTAATACAACCCATGCAATGTACGCTGCTCGAATACTTAGCAGTCAGTAAGAACGCAAGGGAAGAGCTCCTAAGTATCACCAAGAAGGTGAGAGTCCCGATGGCCCAAGGACCAACCGTCTCGGGCAGTGTAGTATCCAAAGAAGGCGTCAAACCCGGGACGACACTGTTCTCTAGGTTCACGATGAAAAGTCTGTCGGCGAGTTGCTTCTCTGAAGAAGAAGTATAGAGGTTCTATGTGTTGGGCAGTGGTCAGCTTCAATCTACGGTTAATGGGAGAGACATGAGGGTCTTAGTAGATAATGGGTCCAAATCAACCGTTTGTCGAAACTCAATCGCCAAAGAATTGGGCTTAGAGATAGATAAGGAAATCGCTATGTCCATGGTCGTAGCGGATAACAAGTTACAACCGGCCGCAGGGGTCTGTCATGAACCGATAATCGAAGTCGCGAAAGTAGAAATAGGCATACCAATCTTTTTCATAAGGGAGTGTTCATGCGAATTGATACTTGAGCGTACCTGGCTGAGCGCCATGCACACTACTACTGTGCAACCGTTTGAACGAGCCGAACGCACGTTCGCGTTCAAACGCGCGCGTTCACACTGCTCGGGGTCGCGTTCATTGGCGTTCAAACACGTGGCGCACAGCGTGGCGCGTTTCTTGTGAACGCGACCCTGGTTCGTTCGCGCGCGCGCTTAGGGCCACGGGGTGGTGGGGTGCGTTCTCAGATATAACAACAAAAAAAAAAAAGGCCACCACCGGCCTCACCCTGGTGTCCCAGCGCCCTACCGCCCCACACCCAGGCGCCCCGGTGCCCCAGCGCCGCAGCTCCCCAGCGTCCACACACCGGCGCCCAGGCGGCCCAGCGCCCACACCACGGCGCCCCAACGCCCCAGCACCCACACCCGGGTTCATTCGCGCGCGCGCCAAGGGCCACGGGGTGGTGGTGTGCGTTTTCGGAGATGACAAAAAAAAAAAGGGCCACCACCGGTCGAACCCAGGCGCCCCAGCGCCCTAGTGCCTCAGCTCCCCCGGCGCCCCAGCGCCCCAGCGCCCCGACGCCCTAGCGCCCCAGCGCCCCAGCGCCCAACACCCCGACGCCCCAGCGCCCCACCACCCCACACCCTGGCGCCCCAGCGCCCACACACCGGTGCCCAGGCGGCCCAGCGCCCACACCCCGGCGCCCCAACGCCCCAACACCCCGGCGGCCCAGAGCCCACACCCCGTCGGCCCGCCTACAACACGACCACACCACCCTACAACACACCGTCCATTGAACACCCACCCACCCACCCGCCCCCGTCGCCTCCACGCCTCGTTGGCCGAACCCCGTTACTAGGGGGGGGGGGGGGGAAACTGATCCATATTTTGGGGGAGGGCGCGACGGGAGGTTTTGGGTTTTGTGGGGTGCTGACGCGTTTGGGGGATTTGGGTTTGGTGCGGGTTGAAATGAAACCAAGCCCAAACCACCCAAGGCCGCCCGCGCCCCACAAGCTAGGTTTTGGTGGTGCTCATACAATGCGAAGTGGGATTTATGAGAGAACAGGAAATTGTCGATGCACATATATATGTACTTGTCATTCCATTCATGTGGACAGATGCAAGTTCACACATTGTTCTTATATACGCACATGCAACACTCATCGTCTGAAAACACAAACATTGCAAATGACAAGATATAATCGAAGTAAAACGCAAACCAACGTAGTATGGATAATGGGAAAATACATTTAACATGTAGGGTCGACGACCCACCACAACATCCAAAAAAACACCAACTAAAATGAAGTCTAAAAAGTACCCGCTGAAAAGTAGACAAAAAAATAAAATAAAAAGAAATAATCTCCGAAGTGTCGAACAAAACCATGTCTGAACTGCTCAAAAAGTACCGAATAAAAAGTAGAGTATAACACAACATCACGAAACAGTATGTCTGTCATGGACGACAAAAAAGTAAACTACACAGAGATCGGGCCGCAAAAACGCAAGTCCGTAAACCATCAACGATCGTTGTCTACATGCGAATCTCGCCTGGAGCGATGAGAACCCTGTCCGTGTGAGCGGCCAGTGCCACATGTTTGACCTCTTTGCCGCAGCCCGCCGCGTTCGACAGTGGAAGGCTCGGGAGGCTCGTCGGGGTCCTCGTCCATAATAACTCTCCTGCCTCTGACTGTTCCGGGTATACCTGTGGCTGCCAGATCAACATGTCGGCAGGAATCGCGACGCATAGGAAGATCGTCTGCCCCTGAAGTCTCCCCCTCCTAGCGTCGGTCTAAGGGCACGTGTCGGGCCTGCCTGGGTCGTGTAACAACCTCTGGCTCCTGTAAAATAATAGATGCCTCTCTCAAACCGTACGTCAACGACGGATCTGCTCCGCCCTCCGCGGCACCGCCTGTGCCCTCACGTCTGCCAGGCATGCCACCACTATCCTCGCCTCTACTGCCGAACCCTGACACCACAACATCACGACGACTCGCGGTCTTGGAAACCTCTCTCAAACCTGGCTGTCGAGCGGCACTCGCCGTCGTCACCCGTGTCGTCTCACTCCATTGTCGATCAGTGCGACTGAACAACATGTTGTCCTCTGACACCCGCGCATGGTCAGTAGTGTATCTCCGTCTACGGGCAGCCGACCTCGGGGTGAGACAGCCGCTCTCTTCCGCACCTACGCTCGCGGGTGAGAAGACAAACCCTGCATGTGAGGCAGGCGCCCCGCTTGCGGAGGCCTCCTGAAGCAGCGCCTGTCGGTCTCGGTCAAATCCATCCTGTCGTGCGCCTCCCACTCCTCAGCAGTCATACATCCAAATGGGAGGCTGCCGCGAGGCGTGGCCACATACCTAATCTGCGGCCTCTCCCATGACGGCGCAAAAGTAGGGACGGGAGGTGCGCACGTGCCCCTGTCTACTCGTCGCTCCGTGACCGGGCCACCGTCATGTGCACGACGCCCAGGATCCACCAGAAACGATACTTGATATGGCACCACCGGCCCCACAGCCGTGCGAACCACCAAAGTTTGCGGCGTCTCCTTTCTGTCTCCGTCACGCCTGTCTCTCACGTAGGGCGCCGATTTGTCCCAATACGGCCTGCATGCCGACACTGATGTCCCTCGGGACTCGCTCTCTCCATGGGGCATACCCAAGTCACTAAACTCACTGAAACCTCTTCCGCCACCCGCCGGCATCCACTCCTCACCAAAATCCCCAAGCGCGTCCCTGCCAACCGCCGCAGCAACCTCGACACCGCCTCCGCCTGCCGCCAACGCACCACCATCTCCACCAGTCGACCCCTCTCTATCTCTCTCGTCCCCCTGGACCAGTGAAGGACCGCCCGCTAATCTCTCCTCTAATCGTTGTCTAGGGCTCTTCACCAATCTATGCAGTCGCTGGTCAAGGACAGGGCCACCACAACCCGACTTTGCCCCCCTCGAAGGTGCAGACCCATGCACTCCCTCTCACTCGGGAGACCGTAGGACAGGTGACGCAGGCCTCTGTCGCTCAACAGGGCTCCCATAACAACCCCCTAAACCCACCTCCCCCTCCAAATCAACTCCACCGAAAAAGTCATCCCCACCACTCCGTCTACGGACGTCCTCCGGGTCGCTCCACTCATAGACCTCTTGTGCGGCAGTAGTCGCAGCAGTGGGGCCCGCCCGCTCGTCCTCCTGCTCCCAACCCTCGTAATCGCTGTGACAGTCGTCATCTCTAGGGTACGGGCGCAATGCAGCATCTCGAGTCCCAAAAACATCAGCGACCTCACCCGGAGGAGCTCTCGACCCACATGGGTCTCGCTGCCACGAACGGCTCTGACACTCCAGCTCCTCCTGCGTCCTCCTGTCGTCCGTCCCCTTCGACGAGGGGCGAGTCCCAATGCTTGCCTCCACGTCCAACAAGGACTTATCTAGAGTCCACGGCAGCGCAAACCCGCAGCATGCCCGCTGAGGAGAGAGAAGGAGGACGTTGGCTGAGATCTCAACCAAATTCGCAACCTTCTCAAACTTAAGCCGGTTACGCTTCTTTGTCTGTACACCCTCGTGGGCGGCCCAATTCCTCTCCGCAGGAGAGGAGCACGTCCACATGTACATGACACGAAGAGCGATAACCTGCAACTGCGGGGCGCACTGTCCCCACTTCGACCGCCAACACCCAGCTTCATATGTCTCCACATCACCGGTGCACCTCTGTGCCTCTCTGTCTCCGTCCCTCCCCCCCCACGTGCCTCTCTGTCTCCGTGTGTGAAAGTCACGCAACTGCGCAATGCGGTCTCGTACTTGGGGCTCGCCACATCGAACCCTGTCTGCGACAAGATGTAAACTTCCGCCTCCCTCACCAAACTCGCGTCGTAATCGCTGACTACGCCCTCGTAGTACCTCAAGCCCCGCCGGCTAGGACAGAGAAGGTGAGTAGCGGCGTGCGCTGGCTCCAATATGTAAGCGCACCGAGCCTGCACCTTCTGCACAATGAAGTGTGCAAAATCCGGCGGAAGTACGCGAACCTCCTGTGTCGCCTCTCGGGTCACATCCTGTGTCCACTGAACAAACCGCGACATGTGCAGCCCTCCACGGTCCAACCTGCGCAGCAGGTTATACACAGGCTCCATAATACGGAACAGGATGGTCATGGAATCCCACCAAGGGCCATGTAGCACCTCCCACCTGACCCACCTGGACAAGTGTCGAACGGAACGGTCCCAAGGGACCATACCCCAACTATCACTGTCCACCGTCCTCTCCAATGCCGACCTCACTGCCAGCAAACGCTCCATCATCGCAAACACGGATGCGAAACCTGTCTCGCACGGATAAATAAGACCCATTTGCGTGCTCTCCCTCTTGAAGATATAACGAGCGGCGTCGTGCTCCATAATGAAGCACACCACCGCTCTTCCCCGCATGATGATGTCCTTGGTCCACGAGCTCGAACAGCCAATGTCTGACAATATCTTGTTGCAGACATGCACTGCGCATGGGAGCCACATGATCCGTCGATGCTCTGGCCTCTGCTCAGGCCCCTGGAGCATGTTCGCCGCGGCGACGTACGCCGAGGCAGAGTCGGTGCAGATGGCGTTCACCCACCTAGGAGGGAAGTCATCAAACACCTTGATCCAACCTGCCAAAACATCAGACGCCTGGTCCCGCTCACCCTCCCTATTCATTGTCCGGACCAGCATCAACCCACGAGACCCGCCGGCAAGGAAGTTAACGATGGGTTTAGCATCACGTGACTTCCTACCGTCCGACATGATGGTGGCCCCAGTGACATAGAAAGGAGCCCTGACCTCCGCAAGATCAGCCGCCACATCGTCCGCCGTGCGGACAACTGTCTCTATGTCCGCAATCTCGATCTCCGAAGACCACAAAACCTTCACTGGCCCAAGCAATTCCCTGAAGTGTCGGACGACGTCCAACCACGGCTTGCTCTGGAAGATGTTGAACGCCAGACGTTGACTGTAGACAAACCTCAGCCACTTCTTCTCGAACTCCATTTGCCACTGTGAACAATACGACTCCTTTATCGTATTTTGTCTAAGCCTCTTCCACGCTCCCGGCCGCGCCCCCTCCTCTCTCTCTTTTCTCTTCCCCGTAGACGGTCCCGCCTCATCCGTACCCACATGCGCTTGTGCGCGAGCCGACACCTGCGCATCCTTAAAGTATTGGCCTTGCTGCCCTCCAGGCTCGCAGACAACGCCCTTCCCTCGGTCCTTCTTTGACGGCCCCACCCGAGCACCCTCCTCCACAACGTTGTCCACGTCGATCACGTCCTCGTCATCCCTCACCTGTCCCACCCTTCCCTCGTCCCGGCGCAGATCCATCGCAGGCTGTGGACTGTGAAGCTCCTCAAACCGACGCATCCGCTCAAGGATCTTCCCGTCCAGCTTGTAGTCGGTGTTGTAGTGTATGTCAACAAGCGCCTCGTCAGTCACTGTCAGACATCCCTTACCCTGCCGGAAATGGCGCCCCACCATGAATTGGTTGCCCTGAAATTCGTGGCCGCAAAAAAGGCACTTCAACATGTGATTCCCACGGAACCTCTCACCAAGATTCTGTCCCACGCGGATGTACTTGTACACGCAATACTTCTTCTGTGCCTTGCGGTTCTCATCCTCCCCTGCGTCCTCGAACACACGTGCCTGAGTCCGCACCATCGTGGCCGTTCGCCACTGTCTTTGTCAAACACTCCCGCAGATGTCAGTCCCACACATGTCCCGGAAAGGTGTGTCCCACACAGTCCCATAGCCTGCCGAGCTCCCTTCCCCCGCCGTGGCCCGAACACCCACCGCAAAGTAGACACCGACGCCCAAGCCACCCACCCGCCCCCTCCACCCCGCCATCGACGAGCCACCCAGCCCTCGTTCAGAAATCAAACGCGCGTTCAATGAAAATGAATGCGCGTTCAAAACATTGAACGCGCGTTCACTTTTTAGTCGCACTGCGCGCCGCCCTTGTCACCTGCGCCGCTGCTCTTCATCGTGTCGTACTCGGTTTCGCCCGCCCCGTTGCGCCGTCTTCAAGCGCTCCGCCTGCCAGTCGCCGTCGTTGCCCTCTCTCTCTCTCTCTCTCTCTCTCTCTCTCTCTCTCTCTCTCTCTCTCTCTCTCTCTCTCTCTCTCTCTCTCTC